CAGTGATCTTATTATTAGATTAATACTCTTTTCATAGTACCCCCCTCGTATAGTACCCTCCTCTTCACACAGTACCCCCGGGGGGTACTATTTAATTAATCCTGACATTTTTGAAAAAGACCAGGGATACTGTATGCAGCGCTGTACGGTAATGCTATTAAGTAATTATTACATAATTAGATCTAAGTACTGTTCCGAAGAGCTCTGAATAGAAAATCAATCAACGTAAATCATGAGTAAGTTGAGAAAGTTTGAGAAAAAAGTTGGAGGCAAGTTCCGAACTACTTTAAAGGCGGCATTCATATTAAGATGGTTATAAAGCTGCGTATTTTATGTACAAGACATAAGCATAAATATAAATTTTAGGTACAAATACGTGCATAAATTGGAAAATATATCACATTAAACCGCATAAATTACTTTTACATAATCAAGGGTTCATTGAAGCCTAAAATCATCTTCTTATAATGGCGTAACATGTGATCATAAGATAACTAGAGATGCAGTAGAAACTATTACGGCTTATTGCCATAACTAGCTGAAGCTCATGCTGTAACTTATTACGGCATAACGATAAGCCATAATAGTTTCTACAACATCTCTAACCATAACAGCCATAATAGGTAAAGATCTGATTTAGTAATACGTATAACAGATTAAATTTGCAGAATCCGTTTCAGAGATATACATCTAATCTTACATATCATTTAAATTCAAATAAATAATAAATGCGGGTCTTATGATTAAATCCGATGATACATGAATAAATCCGAATTCAAGTATTAACTCTAAGCATGATCGTCATGAAAGCAATACATAGGTTGTTGGGTAAATATTAATTGATACGCCCAGTTTCCATAAATTCATTATTTAAATTAAAATTTATAATGATTTCTTCATGAATGTTAAAAGGAATTAACCAATACTATATGCATATAATTGTACAAAAAGGCATACCATAAATATTTTAATTTTAATTAATCACAAAAAAAAAAATTCCGAGTTTTATTGGAGTAAATTTATACTTTATTTCCGTATCCTTTTTTCTTCTAAAAATTACAAGATAATCTAAGAATTTTTAGTCTTTTTTGGGTTACAATTGGTTAAAATTATTTTCCATTTTAAAATGGGTTATAGTAACTATTTGGTGGGAAAATCGTGATCTTATAGCGTAATTTTCAATATCATTTATGTAAACGTTACTCAATAAGTAACTACTTTTGTTTCAAGTTAGGATATGAATACTGAAAATTATAAAGAATTTTTAAGCAATTAAACAATGGTAAATTTTAATTTAATAATGTAAAGCCGATAAAAGTATTAGGTATAATTATAGGATGATATTGTGGTGTCATGGGGTGAATTATGCACTCTATAATTTATACACTCAATATAGGCTTTATGCCTCGACGTTGGTGATTTTGGTCATATAATTAAGAAAATTATTATTGAGTTAGTGAGCTTATGTGCCCCTACCTCGCACATAAGAATCGTAACTAACCTTAACCAAGTTACGTCCTTTAATAAGTTTAAAAGACTAGTGAGGCTTAAACATATCTCACCTTATTTTATAGCGGTATATTCTTTATCACGACCTTCGGTTGATATTCCAACAATTATCCAAGCCTCCGAAGTTTAATTTCAAACAAGCTTGTACGAATTTTGGAAAAATCGCTTTTACCTCGTGGCAGTGAATAATAATTCATATTACAGTATTACTGTAAATTTACGTTGTTTACAGTAGCACATTAAAGTAGTTGGTAAACAAAAAGGTCATATGGCCAACATTGAACTGTTCGACGAAATAGTAAATATTACATTTTACTTAATAATTGTTTTTATAACAATACAAAATAATATATAAATTATGAAATAACAATATAATAATTGCATTATTAAATTTTTTAAAGTTTTCTGCAATGTAAGTCTCTAACGTGACAGCTTACACTTACAGTCAACTCCCGCAATAGTCACATGCCAAAATCAGCCACTTTATGTGCCTATTGCAAAATTGTGGCTAATGCGAGCAAAAATTTATATATAGTATATATTATTGCTCGGAAAATTAAGGTGGCTATAGTGGGATTGTGACAAATGCGGATGTGACTATTGCGAGAGTTGACTGTATTTCCACTTAAATTATCAAATTAGGCAATATGAATAACTAACGCTGTGAAAGCCTGTTTTGTTTTGTTTGATTTGGATTGATGCAGAATCTGCACAAATTAAATTTAGATTAAATCAAAACAACTAAATCAAACCTCCCATCCCTCGTAGCAATTTGTTATCATTAATGTGTCGCAAAATTAACCTTTGTCCTGTCCTAATCAGAGAGAGTAATCAAGTAGTAATTTATATACGTCGCGTGATTTTGAATATGTTAGTAATCAATGGATTTAGATGACAACCGTAATTCTGGATATGCTTGGCGTGCATCAGTTAGATTTTTATATTATTTATTATTTATTATTTCCCAAACACGTATAACTTATATGTTAAACCAAATCACGAAATCGGCACACAAAGTGGAACCAAGAGATAACGAACTGATAATTTATAATTATAAGAAGCTTTGAATGTGTATGAACGTGCATAAGAAAGTAGAACAGCTGTTTAAGAAAAATTCGGAGTTTCATTGGAATTTTTTTAATACAGTACAATTATTTAGTATGACAATATAAATAATAAGAGAATATGTTGCTGTAAAAACTATAAAAAGATAACCACTATGATTCTAGCTATTTGGGTTGATTTTTTTGCCTCGCGAATTGTCAATAATCTCAAGATGCCACTTAACGTAACCCGGGCATGTGACTCTTGTAGAATTCGAAAGGCTAAGTGTGATAATGATGTATCCACTTCGTCATTTACGAAATGCACTCAATGTGCGAAGCGCAATCAAGAATGCACTTACTATATGAAGGAAGGAAATAAGCGTGGACCAAAGTCGAAAAATTCTAAGAATGATAAACGTAAAAGGTCCAAAAATAATTCTAAGAACAATAAACGTAAAAGGACCGAAAGAAATCCTATTGATGGCAAACCTATGAAAGATGTAGATCTGACTAAGGAAATTTGCCATGAGGGTGCCGTTATACCTGTAGACCCTCCTTGTTTACCTGCTGAATATATAGGATACTTCAATACATTTTCGTTTACAAGAGAACAACTAGAGATACTTTGTACTTTCAACCCGCAACCCTGTCAATTCGTGAATACTTCGGGACATATATGTCAAGAATCTTGCTTCATCCGTTATAGTAATTTATATTAAAATTAAAATTTTTTTCGAGAATACCACATTTTTCGCGATAATTACTCGTTATTTCGCATTTTTGTTTTTTTCTTTTTTTATCATCGTATAACTCTTTGCTTTCGCTATTATTATCGTGGCGGCCGATTTATTTTTCTATGCACAACAAAAAAAATTTTAAGAATAAAGTTTAATTTTATGATCTATGAAAATGCTTGTTTAATTTCCGATATACAGTCAAATCATTAATTTTATGCAATTGAATTTATATATTTAGGATAGTTTTATTCTTCAATATTATAAAATTTTTAAACGTAACATTGTTCATATTATTATAAAAGGCTCTTAAGATCTCTATTATTCACCTTACCTAGGCATATTTTACTTAGTGACAGTTTTTAAGTAGAAAAATAGTAATATGTAATAAATATAAGTGGTAAAGTTCTCACAAAAGTATAAGAAAAGGTTTGAAAGTAATAATAACTTCATTACTTATGATCTACACTCAATGGCTTATCGTGTATTACGGGGATTGCAACTCTATCGTTTGAATAAAACTTTATTTATTATAATTTCATATATAGATAAATTCTTTTTTAATTTATTCTCATTATTGAATTATCGCGAATAATATAATTCAAGGTTTTTATTTTAGGTAGAGTAGATCGATATATGGTGCGTAGTCAACTAGGTGGCTTATGGCATTTTTTTCAAACTATACTACTAAAATTAGAATTTAGAAATCCAGTTTCGATCCTTGCTGCGGAGTCATAGAAAACTGTTTATGTGTTGGCTAATTTATGTCGATCCAACTATTATCTCAAAATGGAAAAAAACCATAAGCACCCCATAGCGATATAATATTAATTTTATATCATTGATGACTTAATTGATACGTACGTACGTAACTTTCTCGTAATCTTTAAAGTAACTAATCATAAATTGAATTTAATTTATATGATCACGGGTTAACTTATAGGACATAGTTGTCACCTGCGGAATAATTTTGGCAAAGGAAATTCCTAATATATTACCATTACATATGTGCCTGCAGAGCAAAAAAAAAAAACCATTACTAATTATAGTAAATCATTAGGGTTGCTTTGAAATACTCCAAAATCGGATGTTCAATAGAATAGGTGGACAAACTCCGCCAAATATCATGTAAATTAATAAAAAATTAATGATTACTAATAATTGGCGAAGCTTCTTGTATTATCATCTATTCTATAGAATATTGCATTTAAGGGGTTGCATTTAGAGAGGTATTGCGCTTAGGGGTTGCATTTAGAGAGGCCTGACTGTACCTAATTAATCAAATAATTAATCGAATAATCAATAAATAGTCAGTCGAATTAAATCAATCACTGTAATCAAGTAAAAAATTTTGTTCGACTAAAAACACTAGTTCAGATTAATGTTGTTAGCCGAAATTGTTTTATGATTGTCGAAATATTTCGACATTTATAGCTGTTCTCATAAATTCTGGGCTGAAAAATAAAATAAAATAAAATAAATAAAATAAAATTAAACAAAATAAAATAAAGTTAAATAGCATTAAATAAAATAAAATAAAATTATTAGCATTAAAATAAATTTAATTGTTAACAAATACATACGATACATTAAGTAATTTACATGGGTTGTTGCCTAGCAAATCGGGGTTTAGAGAGGTTTTAACCAAAATCAAGATTTTTAGTGGGTTATATTCCTAAGTATGTGCTTTACTCATGGTAAAAATTTTGATACATATTAGCATATTATAATTTAGTACAATCTTGTACGCAGTTTTTTTATTTAATCCAGGGTTATATTCTAAATTTAGATCAGCAGTTAGTACTGCAATTTTTTACATGTCGCGATTGGCTAACTGAATTTTAAAATCTATGACGTAAGTGTTTGCACAACACATAGGTTATCAATGTTCTAATTTTATTACAATGCAAAATTTTGCATCAAGATGATTAATCGTTGATATTTACAAATAAAAAATTTGCTTCTAAGCCCCGATTTGCTAAATAAAATTTATGCTATGAATTATTCTTATTACATTATAATCGAACCATATTGTTTTGGTTGTAACTTAGGAAGATACTATTTCATCGTTAATTTAGACATTTAGTCTCATAATATTTTATTCAGTTATATATTTAGACATTTAGCCAAATTTAGAATTTTGACATTTTGACAAAAAATAACGTTATGTCGAAATATATTTAGACATTAATTTCAACTAACAACATTAGTTCAGATTTTTTACAAAAATTAATGGACAGTGATAAAGCAACTGGAACGGTCTAGTGACAACAGACCACTGGAACGGTTGATCAATCTTTCTACAGTATAAGCGGAATGTGTAAAACTTGTACGTACCAATTTCAGAAATAACATGTGATAATTATAAATGAAAAGGAATGCATAAGACTACATAATGTAAATATTTTCGTGTAATTGTACGACATACCATAAATATCTTTGTTTTGGTAAGCAATATTATTGCAATAATTTACCATATCTCGGAAAATTATAATATAAATCTAAGATCAGACCATTCTGGACCGGTCTGGACCACTCTGAGCTGAAATATAATTTTCTAAAATATTATAGTCTTATATAGTAATTAAGGTAAAAAAACTTCTGTAATCTAAGGCCATGCAATTTAAATTAGTTGTTTTTTCGTTAAGTAAATAGGACCCGGCCGGCCAGCAAAAACTTTTTTATGAAGAATAAAAAAATTTTATATTGAAAAAAATTTTAACCTTTCTAAAAAAATTACTTGAGAAACAATTTCATCTGTTTGCATGGTCTAACAAGTGGCCTTTTTTTTTTGTTTTTGCAATCTACTAGAATAGTTTCCCATTTTAAGAATTTAGTTAATATCATTTAAATCACATTTTCATTAATAAAGTCTAACTTTTATTCAGTTTTTTAAATATAGAGTTTTTTAAATTAGATTATTTGGTTTGGCATAGTTATGGAATGGGCGCTGCATAACGGATTTACTTGATTTTCCGTCATGAAAATAGTTAATAACCAAAATTGTCATTTATGCGATCGTTACAACATATCAGCCGATCTAATATAGGAACCCATTGGTTATAATTGTTGATAACTTGACTAGATCTGGAATAAAATAATTTAATTTTCAAACATACATACGTACGCGCTGTACGTACCATAGTAAGGTTAAAAAAATTTATTAAACAAGGTAACAAGAATTGGGCAGTATAAATCTGATGGCGATACAACGTGTTACAATTAATTGTTATCATTTCGTGTAACAATTTTTTGTCGGAATTATAACTGATGGGTTATTCCTTTGTTTATTTGCAGATCTACAGATATGATACCTGTCACAATTTTAGGTGGCCAAACAAACATTTGACTAACATTAATTTTCCGGATGTTCTATAGAATAGATGGGCAAACTCCATAAACTCCGCAATTCCGCTAAATATCTATCAATGATTACTAATTATTAGCGAAGCTTATTTCTTATATTGCCCACCTATTCTATAGAACATCCCTATTGTGCTTTTTCCAGTTTTGTTTTATTTGGTTAAATTTTATTCATTATTTGGCACTTGATCGGTCGAATCTAATTGAATTATAGTACTAATAATAGGATATTCACTTCCTTGAGTTTAATTTAGTATCACTCATTTCATAATTGGTAATAAGCATAGTACGCATTGTCGTGAAATAACGTGCAGTGTTGTAATTCAAATTTTTGATCCAAATTAAACTATTATTCTAAATAATGCCATGGCGTTGTTTCGCGTCAACACAGTAAACGTTTTGCTACTTATTGAATAATGGTTACATCAAATGGCATTGGACTATGCTTTAATCATTTTCGTCAGGAAAATTAGACAAGCCCTTTACGCAGTGTCCGTTTTATATAATTCTAACAATTGCTGAACTAAAAAAGACTTCATAAAATATTTATATTATCTTAATTTACTGAGAAAAAAAAAAGTAAAGAAAAGATAATGCGAATCTATTACAATACGATCTAGAATTGTTTGTAATTTCTTACTAAAAGATACTTATGATATACTTTTGTACAATATAATGTGATAAGGTCGGCAAGTGCGGTGTCACGGAAATTTTTGATAATACCTAATCGTTGCATCATAATCATGAGGTGAAATATTTTATGATTAGAACAATAAGCTATACAAATATCTTTGCTTGCTGGTCAGTCCAAAACTGATTTTAATTATAAATATCAATCTCTTAGCATATTAACTAGAATACAATCTGTTTTTATATTAACTACAATTAAAAAGTTTTTAACTTTATATATAGCTTTTAATTTTTTATATTTAAAATATTTAAAATTATTTATTTACTAATAACCTATATTTTCATAGAAAAAATCTTACTATTTTAATATCTGTTATAATTATTAATAGATAAACGCTATACTATACTAGGCTATATACCCTACATCTAATTTTCTATATAATATTATATAAAATTAACTATAACCCTTAACAAACTTCAATTTTTTTTAACTTATACTAATTAGCTATATATCTAAATTATAAACATAGATAGTCTCCAAATATTTGACCAAAAAATATATTATGCGTATAGAATAAAAAAAAATAATATTGAAGATTGAACGTGTTGCGGAGACTTAAGTAGGAAGAATATGTGACGAAAACTTAAGCAAGAAAAAAAAACTGAACGTATAAAAAAAAGTACGCATTAATTGGAAATAGAGTGTGCCACGAAATTTGGCAAAGAAATTCAAAGAAAAACTGAGGTGCTGAAGAGGCTTAATGTAAAAAGCTCTACTGTTGATGGTGAAATACCAAAAGGATTCAAAATGCTACTGGAGGTAAGACGACGCCAAAATGATTCAAAATATAGAATGTTACTGGTTTTAAGAAAAATGCCAAAGTGAATTAAAGCAAAGAATGCTACCAGTAAGAAAAATTTCAAAAAAGCAAGAATAAAAAAAGAGCCCAAGTCAAAAGTCTTTATTTTACTCTCTTAGATTGCAGCTTAGGGATTGGAATCGGTTTAGTCGATTACTACGTTTAGTCGACTAATTAATCGACTAAACATAGTAGCTTACTATAAAAATTTTTAGTCGACTAAACCTTATTACAGCTTAGACGACAGATCAATAGTTTACGCACGTCACCTGACGATTTGCATCTTAGGTGCGTACCCGTACATCTAACAAAGGTTATATATGAAAAATGTTAACTTTGATTGGTTAAAATTTTTTTAGCCAATCAAATTCAAGAAAAGTGGATAAAAAGATCGGAAATTCTTTGTTAGTATTATTCGGGGTCCTGATCTGAGGCATGCATTAGTTAGTCTGAGGCGCAACAGGTTACATCTATATAATTTGACATATACGTCGATGCCTACTGTTTTGTATTGTCGATCCTTACCGTTACATAAAAATCGTCATTGACACATATTGACATGTTGTTACACAAAGCTATAAAAATTTTAACGTGGCGTGTGGCTTTCTCGAAATGAAAAAAAGAACCATAAGCCGTGTTTTAATTGACAGAGCCCAAATAATTTTCCTAAAGTTTCCAATTGTCTGACAGTCATCTCTGATCCGCAAAAGTAAAACGTTGAAAGGATACAGTCTGTAGAAAATTTACCGAAAGCTTATTGAGTAAATTTAGTGAACTAAGTGATTATTTAAGAATTTTCAGGTTATCTGCGAAGTTATCTGGTGGACCACGGGGTTATCTGTTAGATTATCCGACTATCCACGAATTAATTATATATAGATATTAAGAGTGTAATTTATGCAGTATGTATGTAATGAAAGCCTAAAGATATATCAAGTAATTAGTAAACGTGTGGCATGAATAAAGGAGAAACGATACATGCATTCAGCAAACATATGTTAAAATATAAGAAGTTAAACTGCAGTTATCATTGAGCGCGCTGGAATGGATTTCCTTTACAAGAGAATAAGAGAATAATAAATAATGATAATAAGTGAGTTAAAAATAAGGACACAGGAAAAAATTACGGGATAACATTTTGCACTTTGTTTTTATGTAGCCCCTTTCAAAAATTTCCAATTGTTCCGATCATCACAGATCTCGCAATACAGTAACGATTAACGATAAAATAATACCGAAAAGTTTATTGAAGTTTGGAAAATTAAATTATGCCATATGGAGTCTCAATAGCGAAGGTTAAAAAAAAAAAAAGAAAAAAAAAAGGAAATATTGCATTACATTTGGTAAACAAGACACCGATCTATCATATATCTGAATATGAATTATTTACTTTAAATGTCAAATTGTATAGAAGAATATTTGCTTGATATTATAATGTATTTTATTTTATTTTATTTTATTTATTTTATTATTTTATTTTATTTATTTATTTATTTTTGAACTTATTTTTGCTATCTCATACTAAAAAAGTAATATAAGTTTTTGTTAACTTAATATTAGATCGTTCCACCAGGAATATTAAAATGTCATTATAACACTATAAAACTATTCTGGGAAAATAAAAAGATAATAATATTGTAATACTGATATTATATATATCTGTTGGTTTCTTATCTGTTATGCAATTAATTTATCTTATTTATTTTCTTTATTTTATTATTTTTTTCTTTATTTTATTATTTTTCTTTATTTTATTATTTTTTCTTTATTTATTCTTTTTCTTTGATGATAGAGTTCTGACAGCTTAAATTTTAAATACATATTTATGGCTGTTATCTAAAATTCAAACTCTGTGAATCCAATAAATCTCTCTATTTAGCTAACAACCTTGTCGGATTGCTTTATAATTTATTGCACGAAAAATCCTCGGTGCAAATATGTAAATTGCCCGATTCTTTTGATTTTAATTTTTGAAGTCAAAATTTTTTTTTATTTACCTTGCTTTATGTTTTAAAATATTGTCATACAACTTGTTTAATTCTATAAATATCTGACTCTGCATCGCTAAAATTGACTTTTGTCTCGAAGTTGTGTAAGGACGGCTCATGTTGAACTCCAATATGAAAATATAAGACATTAGTGGATTGAATTTGTAAGAAGCCAGAAAATAAAATAAATACTAAAGTATCGCTTAACTGACTTTGAGACTTATTCGTTGAGCATAATAATTATATTTCACATCTCCAAAACAATCCTGTGAATTATTATCATTATCAAACGTCAATAATCTATGTCATTAAACCGACTCAACGTAACATGCGCTTGCGACGTTTGTAAAATTAAAAAGACCAAATGTGATCGTGCCGCAAATACGAAATGCACCGAATGCATAAAACGTAATATAGAATGCACTTTCTATAAAGGTATGGGGGAAAGACGTGGTCCAAAGCCAAAAAAAAATCCGATTAATGACAGCCCTACGATACCTGTAGACCCGCCTAAGGGAATTTGTCATGAAAATGAAATCTTTAATAGTTTATCCATAGAAGAAATAAGAAACTTCAACAACGCAGACGTTATACCATTAGATCCGCCTAGAGAAATTTACGATTTGAATGAAATCATTTATGGTCTACCCACAGAAGAATACTTCAGCAACGCAAACCAAGTTGTACCTATAGATAATGAGTATGAAATCTTCCGTGGTTTATCCGCGGAAGATATAGAATACATAACCAACACATACACAAAAGAAGAACTAAAGATACTCGGATCTTTCACCCTACAACCCTGCCCGTTCAAGAATATTGTGAGTCATCTGTGCCATAAAGGGTGCTTCGTGAGATATAATAATTTAAGTTAAGCTCGATACTCACATATCTTTTTCGAGTATTTATGCATATTAATTTTTTTAAATTATGAGTAATTAAGTAATAATTATGAAAATTTTACCAATAAGCTTATAAGTAGACTTCTTTATAACATTTTGATCACGTGCTATCGTCATTTATGTAAAATTACGCTTCCGTTATTTTTTATTTATATTGTTCTGTATTATTTTATTTTATTTTCTATTTTTTTCGCAGTTAACTTTGTTCGAATCGTTTTTCTATCATTTCTATGATTACCCTTTCGTTTTTTTGTACTGGTTCTTTTGGTTAGTGCAAGTTATTTCGTCGTTTTTTCACAGTGATTCCTTTTTATTTCTGTAACGGTTCTCCACTATCCTTTCTTAATTTTGCGGTTGCACTTTCATCATTATTGCACCTGTACGTTAATTGTTCCGCACCGGTTCTTTCGTCTTGATGTGGTTGTTTTATCGTACCGTTTTTGTAGTCTTTTTTCATCGTTGGTTGGTGGCCATTCGTCGCTTTGGCAAAAGATTTATCATTTTACGTGGCTTCTTTGTGTCTTCGCATAATTTTTCATAATTTTTCGGTTATCTATTATTGTTCATTCGTTGTTTCGCGATAATTCTTGTATTTTTTTGTGGCGGTTTTTTTTTTAAATAATCTAAAGTCGCTTATTCACTTTAATTCTTTCCTTCTCTTTTTTTTTTTAATGTAAAAAAATATAATTTAAAAAATAAAGATTTTATCGTGTGTTATGGGAAATCATTAACCTATCGTTTGATAAAGAAACTTTATTTATTTGTATATAACTTAATTTACCTGTCTAAATTAAACTTCTTAATCTTTTCATAATATTGAGTTATCGAGTTCTATGTCAAAATCCTGAAAATCAAAATCATTGTCACACCGCGTGTTGTCGGGGTTCCAGTATTCAAACCCAGCTTATGATTAGTAATAATGACTACTAATCATAAGCGGGTTTGAAATCAAGAACCAGCGACGGTGAATAATATCGATTTGATTTTGCAAAAATATCGTTCAGTATGGTCAAAAATATCGATTTATATCGATATACCAATGATTGGCCAATCAGAATGCCAAATTTTGTGTAACTGTCACAGATAAGGCGAGACCAATTTGATTCAGTGGTTTACGTTACCCCCCTCCCGCCTTCCCCCCTCACTATATACGCGGAAAAT